GTCATTATGAACACAATTGACAACTTTAACTTGATCGTGGAATTCTTTGCGTGCGTTAATATAATATCATTGAATAATAAATCTTATTATTCAATGATAATATTAAAAATCCCTTATATGGAACACGAGTCATTTGGAGGCATTTATATTGTGTAAACTACGTCATGCGGATGTTTTCTTTTGCATCAGTACCTATAATAATGCAGGGTCACCCTGTATGTGAATTTGATTTATGTATAACGTAAAATGTTGGTTGTAATTTGAGATTAATCACTCGATCATATTCATTCAATTCGATGTTTTGTATTAGAATTATTGGATGTTTAAATAATCGCATTTTCATTTGTTTATTTTATTGTTCAGTTAAGTTAAAGAACCTCTAGAATCCAATTGTTAAAGTTAGCTCTTGTAAATCCGGTAAGTGCGATAAGAAGCTTCGTTATCGCTGCGTTAGTTAATTAGGCGAAGATATGTAGTTTTTTTCACCGACGTAAAAACAGATGGTAGCTATTCGACGACGCAGTAATTTTTGATGAGAAGGAGGAGATGGTTCGTTAAGTGGAACGGAAAGGGAAATTGTTTTAAATAACAGAGAAAGACGTGAGTCGTGGCTTGTTTGGTGGTGGACGTTAATCGTTGCTCTTTGGTATCCGCTTATTGTCTTGGGGATTGGCACTTGCTGCCATATTTGAGCATATTATCGCAAAACAATCCATGTTACCAATTGTAAAGTGTTATGGAAGAAAGTCAGTTGTGTGGCCTAAGAGATTTTATCTAATACTTCGTTGAAAGTGAATGTTTAAGTTGATTCTTGATTTTTTAATTTCTGATTTTGATATATGATTTATACCCAGTTGCACCATTAAAATTAAGCCTTGCTTAAAGTTAAGTCAAACTTAAAATCTATGGTAACGATTATTAAGATAATTGTTGCTGTGGCATTTAATAGTCTCTAGGCGATAGAGACTGTAAAATTGGCAAACTGGACATTTTGAGGTGGAAAAGAAAAAAATGGTGGAATATGTTCAGTTAGGTGTCAAAAACAACATATTAAAAATCCCACCCTCCAGACCCTGTGCTAAAGGCTCCAGCCACCCCACCATCCCCCAAAAACCGTGTTTTCGCTCTTTTTGGCTGATATCTCGCGATCTATGAGGTCTATATGAAATATTTTTAGCTGAAAATATTTCTCGGGAAATTTCATACAAGGTAGATACTCAGAAGTTAGCCTAGGTGTACCTCTTAGCCTAGGAAATTCATAAAAGCGGCGAAAATCATCAATTTTCGTGGCTTTGGGAAAATATATCGCGACCTTTAGGGCTAGATGAAATATTTTTAGCTGAAAATGCTCCTCGTGAAATTTTTTACAAGGTAGATACTCAGAAGTTAGCCTAGGTGTACCTCTTAGCCTAGAAAATTCATAAAAGGAAGCGAAAATCATCATTTTCGTGTTTTTTTTTGCGGTTTTTTGCAAATATATCGCGACCTAGCTAGATGATATATATTTAGCTGAAAATGCTCTTCGTGCAATTTCATACGAGATAGGTAACTGAAGAGTTGGCGTAAAGTCACCTTTCACCTTCAACTTTCATGTGTGAGGAAATATTCATTGTAAAACAAAGTATTTCTATGTACCATTTATTCACGTAAAAACAGTATTTTCATATTAAAATATTCACACATTCATTTATACCTCAACGTAATCATTACCCTTATACTTATCCAAATCAATTCGTACTTTTTCGATCAGACTTCTTAATCAAAAGTTATAGACTAGAAACCAATTTGAAAAAAAATTCAAAGGGCTGTAACTTTTGAACTAGTAGCCCAATCTTGGAACTGTTTGAAATTATGGATTCTACAGGCCACATTCTATAAGAAAATTTTTTTTCCGGGTCGATCTGAGACAATTTTTTTTCGGGGCTCAAAAAAAGGCAGTGTATAACCTTCCTTTTTTACCAAAAATCGACTACACCAAAATTTCTCGGGAAAACACTTTTTCTTATTAATTTGGGTGCGTAGAATCCAAATCAATTCGTACTTTTTCGATCAGACTTCTCAATCAAAAGTTATAGACTAGATGCAGATTCCACTTCTTCAGGCTCTTCGACGTCCTCTAGTGGTAGTGGGTCGTCTGAGATTACCGACTCGTAGTTCTCGTCTTCCGCTTTACCTGATGCATGGGTACCCTGAAGAGACGACGTGGCATTTAGGCACGATGCTCCATGACACTGGACGCCGAGTTCATTACACTTCAGACCTACAACAAGAAGCATTATGTCAAAAAAATTTTTATAATTATGTATACGATTATAATATTCTCTCGTGTGTCCTAGGTGTCCGGTAGAGAAGGTTTACCTGATTTCCTGCAACTGTTTCAGAAAATCAGGTAAACCTTCTCTACCCGACACTTAGGACACACGAGAGAATATTATATTCGTATACCTACTTAATTATAAATTTTTTTTGACATAATACTTCGTGTTGTAGGTCTGAAGAACGAATTCTGCGTCCAGTGTCATGGAACATCGTGCCTAAATGGGACGTCGTCGTTTCAGGGTGCCCATGCAGGTAAAGCGGAAGGCGAGGAGAACTACGAGTCGGTAATTTCAGACAACCCACTAGCACTAGAGGACGTCGAAGAGCCTGAAGAAGTGGAATCTGCAGAGGATAATTATTACGTTGAGGTATAAATGAATGTGTGAATATTTTAATATGAAAATACTGTTTTTACGTGAATAAATGGTACATAGAAATACTTTGTTTTACAATGAATATTTCCTCACACAGGAAAGTTGAAGGTTAAAGGTGACTTTACGTCAACTCTTCAGTTACCTATCTCGTATGAAATTGCACGAAGAGCATTTTCAGCTAAACATATATCATCTAGCCCTGAAGGTCGCGATATATTTGCAAAAAACCGCAAAAAAACACGAAAATTGATGATTTTCGCCTCCTTTTATGAATTTCCTAGGCTAAGAGGTACACTTAGGCTAACTTCTGAGTATCTACCTTGTAAGAAATTTCACGAGGAGCATTTTCAGCTAAAAATATTTCATCTAGCCCTAAAGGTCGCGATATATTTGCAAAAAGCCACGAAAATTGATGATTTTCGCCTCTTTTATGAATTTCCTAGGCTAAGAGGTACACCTAGGCTAACTTCTGAGTATCTACCTTGCATAAAATTTCCCGAGAAATATTTTCAGCTAAAAATATTTCATATAGACCTCATAGATCGCGAGATATCAGCCAAAAAGAGCGAAAACACGGTTTTTGGGGGATGGTGGGGTGGCTGGAGCCTTTAGCACAGGGTCTGGGGGGTGGGATTTTTAATATGTTGTTTCTGACACCTAACTGAACATATTCCACCATTTTTTTCTTTTCCACCTCAAAATGTCCAGTTAGATGTCTTTATCGCCTAGACTATAAGTTAAGGCGATACTTTATTTTGACGGTGCAAATGCCCATTAATCTGTCTAAACTCATTTGGAGAAAAATAAAAATTCTATAAGCACACCTCCAAACTTCCTTGGCAGAAAAAAATCAAATTTGGCTTAATTTCAGAATTTTGAATTTCTAGTTACCTATCGTATTTTGGTCGCTATTTTGTGAGGCAAACCTCTAAAAACCGCCCATGTTGATTGTGTATATTAAGATGTGCTTATCCTTTATAACGCATAGGTATCACATTGTATGCTTTGCATTTCTCGTAATCTGATGGCAATAATCTTTACCCAAAATTGTCATGAAACCCAAGGATGCTATATAATATCATGAAACCTTCATTTTTATGTCTACTTTGTCAGTAAATTTTAGTTTCCATGACAGAGGCAGACCAGACCATTGAAATAAAAGACTAAGGAAGGAGCTTATGTATCTATTATTATAGCTAGGATCCTATTAGGCTTCTCAATATGGCGGATTTAATTTTTTGGCGGATAGTACTGAAATGATATACATTTTACTCCAGACAGATTCATCACTTCTTATAAACGAAATCCATCTATCTCGCCATTCACTGTCTAAAGGAAATCTAAAAAGTAGATGTATTTCAAAAAGTTGTTTTACACACTATTGTTACGGCAATTTATATTAGAATACGATTTCGGGTAAAATTTAGTACAAAACTGGTCAGTAAAACGACATTACTTGTCTCAGATATTAAAGCACTCGGCTTCAAAGGGGCCTCGTACTTCAATATTCCCTCGCCAATAATGTTTCATTTTCCTGACTTTTATGTAAATAACTATGCCATGGGCATTTGCAAGTATACGTTTTAAACTATCTATCCGATACGTGACTAGCTACTATCTGAAAAAATCTTGCAGTTTCTGTCAACGATAAGTGGAAAATATTAACTTCTGTGCACAAACACAACGCAAGCTTTTCAGACAACGCGAGAGCCTGCTTGGCAAAATTCCACTCGACATTCGACAAGAACGGTCCACGAATTTGGTTGGCAATTATAGCAAAAATTAAAAGACTTTTGACACCGTCAAATCCGTCTTTTCCCTAAGTTACGAAAGCACACTAATCCTTCCGTGTCAGATTGATCTTGGCAAAACTATATGAAGAAGTTAACTTTCGCCTTCGATTGCAAAAAAAAAACTTGTACACATACGGAATTGAAGATTTTTTTCCAAAACCGGTAATATCGCGATCACTTCAGCTAATGTGTACACTTCTTTTTATGCAACCGACACCTCTAAGGTTTCATTAGTCGTGTTATTATTAGTACTACATTCAATCAGCGATTGCTATAACGGAACGTTTATTACGCGTTTTTCTACTTCGGGAATGTAACGCTTAATTAGAAAATGCCCATCTAAACGTAACTTTTCTTTTTCAGATGCCTCGTCTTCGAACGAAGCGGTGCATTTACAACAGCGCTTACGTAGTTTAAGTACGGAATTGGTAACGTTGAGGAATCGTCTTCACGTTCAAGGTGCTCCGACTACGAATTTAAAAGGAGTTCATGGATCATCAACGGGAGCACCTACAGTTCAACCTGCAATACCACCACGTGCAGTTCCTGTTTTAGCTCCGCCGGTGGTCCAAGAACTTCGCACCCAGTTACCGACCGCTGGTGCGGATCTCGAAGATCTTATTCATCTGCAGGGCCCGCTTACCGAGGATGCAGTAATGAAATGCCTTCAGGCGAGGTTCGCCGCTTCCAATTTCTATGTGAGTGTTGTTGGTCATTGAACAGAACTGACCTTGAACAGCACCTGTCGCGGTGGTACTTTCGGTCCGCCCTGTTCACGCCTGACCGTGAACTTGCTAACAAAACCTCGACTACTCTGTACATTTACATAATCTCGAGATGGTTTACGATCATTAATAAATTTCTTCCGTACAGACGAACGTTGGGCCGATCTTGCTGTGCGTCAACGCTTACCGAGACGTCGGCAATTCCCTCACGTTGAACAGTACCAGGAGCTTGCCTTTAAGTCCCCAACTCAACAAAGTGGTTCAGGAAGCTGTACGTCAACAGTCGGAAACGGGTTACCCGCAAGCTATTATCCTTTCAGGTGCATTGCTGCGAATACATAAAGATTCTTTATACTGATCGGCTGCTTTATATAGGTACGAGCGGTTCGGGCAAGAGCCATGCCTCTATGTTATTATTGCGACAACTTTTTGCCGTGGCCGGCGGTGGACCCGAGACCGATGCCTTTAAGCACTTAGCCGCCGCGTTTACCGTCCTAAGATCTTTGGGATCGGCTAAGACGGCAACGAATTCCGAATCGAGCAGAATAGTGCGTAATCGCCGAATTGCAATTGATGACCTTTGACGGTTACATTTCAGGGCCAATTTATCGAGGTGCAAGTGACCGATGGCGCACTTTATCGTACTAAAATTCACTGTTACTTCCTAGATCAGACGCGAGTCATCAGACCGCTTCCAGGCGAGAAGAACTACCACATATTTTACCAAATACTTGCCGGATTATCGAGCGAAGAACGTGCGAAGTTAAATCTCGAAGGTTGTTCGCCGTCTACGTTGAGATATTTACAACACGGCGATACAAGACAGGATGTGACCGAAGATTCTTTAAGGTGCTTAGTGTTTTGCAGGCGATCGGGGTAGTAACTCTTCATTTGTAGGTTCCAGGCGTGGAAGACGTGCCTGGGGGTTTTGGGAATTCCTTTTCTGGACGTGGTCAGAGTGCTGGCGGCGGTGCTGCTTTTGGGGAACGTGCAATTTATTGATGGGAACGGTTTGGAGGTCGACGTGAAGGGCGAAACGGAATTGAATGCGGTCGCCGGTTTGCTTGGAGTTTCCGGTGCGGCGCTATTCAGGGGACTCACCACCCGTACGCACAACGCGCGAGGGCAACTTGTCAAATCGGTCTGTGACGCGAATATGTCGAATATGACCCGAGACTGTTTGGCCAAGGCGCTTTACTGTCGGACGGTGGCGACAATTGTTAGAAGAGCGAATAGTCTGAAGCGGCTAGGTTCCACCCTAGGCACTTTAAGTTCGGATTCCAACGAGTCCGTTCACAACCAGGCCGAGATTGCAAGTCAGCACGCTTCGACAATAGGGGGTGGAACCAACGCCGGCAGCAAGTCTATGGCAGCGTTAAACAATGCGGTCAAACACGCTACGGATGGATTTATTGGAATTTTAGATATGTTCGGATTCGAAGATCCGAAACCGAGCCAGTTGGAGCATTTATGCATTAATTTATGCGCGGAAACAATGCAGCACTTTTACAATACCCACATTTTCAAATCGAGCATAGAATCTTGTCGTGACGAAGGCATTAATTGCGAAGTCGAGGTGGATTACGTCGATAACGTACCGTGCATCGATTTAATATCGTCGCTTAGAACGGGATTGTTGAGTATGCTGGACGTCGAATGCTCAATAAGAGGCACGGCCGAATCGTACGTATCGAAAATGAAAATACAGCACAAGCACAACTCTCGTCTCTTCGACCCTAAATCCCTAGAATCGCGTTTATTTGGAATACAACACTTCGCCGGTCGTGTTATTTACGACGCCAGCGGGTTTCTCGACACTAACAAAGATGTTGTTCCAGATGACCTCGTTGCCGTCTTCTATAAGCATAACTGTAACTTCGGTTTTGCAACTCATTTATTTGGAAGCGAACTCAAAGCTCTTTATTCTATTGAAAATGTCCCCCGCGGCATTAGTTTTAGAATATCACCAACCTCACACACGGATTTACTCAACGGCGACGAACCGGTCTCCACGCTGACGCAAGATTTTCATACACGACTTGATAATTTATTAAGAACTCTGGTACACGCGAGGCCTCATTTCGTGCGTTGCATTAGAAGTAACTCCCAAGAATCTTCGAATAGATTCGAACGTACGACGGTTATGCGACAAATTCGATCTCTGCAGATTTTGGAAACGGTCAATCTGATGGCCGGCGGCTTTCCGCACCGAATGCGATTTAAGGCTTTCAATACGAGGTACAGGCTACTCGCGCCCTTCCCTCGGTTGCAAAGAACCGAGGAGAAACTAATGGAAGACTGTAATTTAATCTTAGAACACGTCATCGAGTTAATGTCCAAAGAGCAAAACGTCCATGTTGCCACGAACTGGGCGATCGGCAAGCGACACATATTCCTAAGCGAAAACATAAGGCAACACCTGGAGAAGCTTCGAACGGAAACGCGCCAGAAGTCGGCAGTTTTGATACAGGCCACTTGGCGCGGTTACAGATTTCGGTGCAGATGGGCGACCATTCGAAGAGAAAAGGAATTGCAAACCTCCACGATTAACCAGTCGACGATTACCCGCGCCACTAACAACGGGGCAAGACCGAGACCGCAACCGATAGCCGGCACACCGCCCCCAGATCCAAACGAGAAATGTGATAATAAAATTATTCAGCAAACGTGTAACCTGTTCGGCTTGGATTTGGAGCGGCCGCCTCCCGTTCCGCCGAGTAGATCGTACACTGTCGCGGGCAACACCAAATTGGGCTACCCCCAAACCCGCATCATGAAGATGACCTACCCCGAGGATGGGGGAGGAGACGGCGCCGTCCTGTTGAAAGGTGAGCCGGTACTCGTAGTCGGAGCTTCCCCAAAGAGAGGCCATCTCATCGTAGAGCACAAGCACTACACTCTACACGTACCTTTTCAGTATTTAGAATTAAAACAAAATGTCAATATTTAAATCTTGCCATAACTCCATCACATCAACCTCATGTGTTCATTTGTATATTACTGCAAACCCAACTGTATAAATCTGTAAAATCTCTTCTTGCCATTGTACATAGTAAGATACCGTACGAGATAAATATAATTTTTTACACGATCTCCTTTTTATATTCCTTTCGAGACTCTCTTTTCACTATGGGAAGTTGGAGGTATCACCGCGTCGGAATAATGAAAGGTTGACCATTCCACCGACTCATCATTCGTGCCCGCACGATCTTCTTCATCCACGGGTCCGGTTAGCAAGACCATTATGGCAGCCTAAAACACTTTACACGGTCGAGTGGACACTCTTAGACTAGGCACACATTTGGAAATATAGAATGTCGGAAGCATTTCATATAACAATTTGGGAAACAGCCTTTTTAGACTAATTAAACCTCGCTGAATCCGGAAATGCATGTTTCCACGTCGTGATTTAAACCGGAAGTCCGGAATCCAAGATGGCGTCCAGATTACGTTTGAGCGTATCTATACCTTGTCTCTTTAAATACAATCGTAATTTAAACGTCGATCTTGAGGTTTTCAATGGCAAAGAATTCAATGCAAATGCTTTAAAAAAAGACATCTTGTAGTTTTAGGGCCTTAATTCAATTTTTCGCCCAAAATATGGCAGTAAAAATTTATTTATAAGGGCCATGATTATAGACTAATTCTATGGAAATCCTAACGCGGTATTTTCATTACGAAATAAGGTTACATAATAAACAAAAACGCTCTTTTTTCACTTAATACATTTATTAAACTAACTTTCCAAAATTTAAATTTATTCCTGCTCCTGAGTTAACTCATCACTCAAGATGCGAGAGTTCAGACATTGGCCTTTGCAGTAACACAATTTTGTACAAGACAAATCGGACCTTTTGCATTCGCACATTTTGTTTGCGCATTGCGTTTAACAATTACAAGTTTTGATGTCAATGCACTCTTTTGGAACAGGATCAGGATCCTCCAAATCGTCATCTTCGTCGTCTTAATCGTCCAGTTCAGAATCCATATCATAAAGGGCTCTTTCTTCACCAAGCAACACATTTAAAAACAGTGACTTAGGCACTACGGCGCAGCAGCCTCAGGTTACGAGACGTGAAGTCCAGAGTGACCAGGCGTTGAGTTGAGATCTTTTCGAATCTGCAGTGCTGCATGGACAACTGTTAGGAGGTCATCGGAACGATACTCTGGCAGAGTCAACCCGAGACTCGGGAGTGGAGGCATTTTGTTCAACAAGCTCATTTTTCTTTTTCAGCCGTTCCACATGTGCTGTGTTAGTGAAGCTGAAGTAGCATGAACGATGGTACTTGAAATTTCAATCGTTATTGCCGTTCAATTTTTCTTGAATGCGAATAATTATTTTCAGAATCGTGGAAGTCTTGTTGGCATTTTGAAAATTCTAACAGCCTCTGCTTTCCTATAAGTTCGTTAAGTAGTTCTGACAACTTCTCCTCCTTTCCTAGACTTTTCTGGCATAAAATCACAGATTATGATTAATCGTAGTACTCGCTTGTAGTAAGGAATGTATTGTAAAATAGCCTGCGGGGAATAACCCACCGCGTTTAAAAACAAAAATCTTTCACACGAAAATTAAGAAGAGACGACAGGTGACTGCTTACCGTAACAACAGCTACAACAAAAGCAAAGAATACAGGTTCTCTCACTGCACGTACTGTAGCACTCACATTTATTTACTAGTTGACACGCACTGTTCACACTGATGTATGCATAAAAACTGATCCATTCTTAAAAAACCGTAAACTACACCTCCCGCAATCAGCAAATAATTAACATGCACCATCAACATCAGCTGTTTTTTTAAAGCATTGCATTGACTTTCTTACCTGTGAAAACTCCAAAATCGACGTCTATATTACTATTCTAGCTCAAAAGACACGGTAGATACGCTCAAACATGCTCCGGACACCATCTTGGCCGCCATCTTGGATTCCGGACTTTCGGTCCAAATTTCGACGTGGAAACAGGCATTTTTGGATTCAGCAACGTTTAATTAGTCTAAATAAGTGGTTTCTCCAATTGTTATATGAAATGCTTCTGACATTCTTATTTCAAAACTTATTAAAAATCTATCCTAGTCTATCTCTCAACCCACCTCCAAACAAAAGCATATCCCGTAAACGGCAAATTCGAACCAGAGCAGCGCATGGATAGAACTTTCCAGTTTTAAACCACACCCGCGTGTGTTGATGGTATCGGTTTCTCGTACGTTCCTAAACGAGCAACTGGAGTTGGACAACTTGCGACAACACGAAAACGGAACTTCGTCGAATTCGATGGAATTCCTGACCAATATATCGTGACAGGGATAGCCTCTGAGAAGGGCAATTGCGTGTAATTTACTTTACAGCCTCACTCACTCTTCCTTGTTCCCAAACCAGTCCTTGTACGAGTACGCCCCGCAGCATTGCAAAAGGAACTGTATGTTGTCTATTAGGACCTTAGCGGAGAGCTTTGTGTTGTAACTTCTCATCAACTTCAAGAAGTCGGCGCCTGTGTGAACGCCGACAATTAAAGAAACCACTGTTAAGATAGTTGCAGACAAGTGAAGGGTGGCCGCAACGGTTATGGTCAACCGCTGATAGCATATCGTGTAACCGTAAGTTCTATCCATATTTGGTGTCCTGCAAGACGTACAGTTTGTAACGCATCCCTTGCGGTTAATACGTACATGCGGGCGGTTTTGAAGCGAATCACCGCCGGTAGGGTAACAAAGCAAGCTATCAGACCGGAGAGCGTCGCGACGTGACTCTTTGTAAAAGTTAGCACTTCGGGAATATTCCATAAAAGGACTCCGGTTATTATCAGTTCTATCGAACAGATTAAGGTCAGTAAAGCACAAAGAGAACCGATCCATTCTATGTTGGCCAAAACCATTAATTGAAGCTTAACTTAAAATATGTGCATTCTTAAATGTAAAATTGTCAAAATGTCGGTTACACTAATTATAACATTTTATTGCAGCTGTCAACCTGACAATGCATATTGGCGATTATGCCGGATTAGAAAGTCCCTAGGTGTATATTAAGGTGGGTTCAACGGATGAACTGAATTTTGTAATATACATGTAATCTAATTATTTGTATACTGAGCAACAACATTGGTTTTGTAAACGGTAAACGGGCGCCTACCTACTAGTTACACGTACCGAGGGGAGTTTATCTTAAATTACGTGTACCTTTCACTATGCAAGATAATAAAGAGAACATGCGTCACTTTACAGATGACTCTAAACACCAAGGCTAAGTAAGAAATGATTTCGCCATAACGTTCCCTGAAGTGGCACTTGTATGTAGCGCAAAATTTCCCTTTATAGGGGAATTTCTTACAAAAAATTCCCCCTAAAAACTAAAAAGAGAACTTGGTGTTTCATTTTCGAACGTCATACACATCATTATTCAGATTTCTACAAATGATAAATTTAACCCGTAACATTTGAAATTTTTATCGATACGCCCGTCCGTCTGTCTGTATGTTCCTAACTCGAGAATGAAAAGAGACAGCGATGTCAAACCTTAGCCAATCGATTTCTGCGAGTTCAAGGATCAGGAATGTTGAATATGTGCCGGATTAAAAGTCGTGTCGAATTTTTCCCCTTTGCTATTGTTGAAAAGAAAAACATTAAAATTAGTTAGATCAAGGTTTCAGTGTGTCAAATAAATAGATTTGTTTGTTGACTGTTATAAAAAAAACTGTACGTTTATTTTTATTAAAAATCGTCTTGAATATCTCATCGTCTCTCGTCGTCTCGATTTTTTCAACATGGTAGCAGAGCGTGGTTCCCTATAAAAGAAGTTGGACATTGAATTTCTTTTTGGAATGGAACTTCAAGTACATGGGATCAAGAAACTCAGAGGAACGGAAAACTGGATTCTTTGGAAGTTTGCAGTGAAAAGTTTACTTCGAGGAATAGATGGAGCATATGAGGTATGCATCGGCGAAATTGGGAAGCCAGCTCCTTTGAGAGAGGAAGCAGGAGACGCCGATCGAGCTGAATATAAGGCCAGCTTAAAGCTTGGGATAAGGCGGATCGCGCAGCGAGTCAGCTGATTGTAAAAAACAATCGATTCTAAGGTATTAGCGTTGCTGGTTGCGTGTGAAACAGCACAAGAAATGTGGTTGAAACTACATTCAGTTTACCAACAGCAGACCAAGCAAGCTGCACATATTGTACAGTCAGAGTTTTTTGTATTTCAAAAAAAACCAGTTGATGACATGGTACATCATATTGCCAAATTTGAACAATTAATTTTGCAGATGCAGCAATTAAATGTAAAACCAGACGAGTCATCAATTGTTGTTAAATTACTAGATTCACTTCCTGATGAATTTGAAAGTTTACGACAAGCTTGGTGGGCAAGGTCAGAAAACCAGCAAACTTTCAACAATCTAGTGGAACTTTTGACAACGGAAGACAAGCGACAAATACAGCGAATTGAAAAACAAGATGAGTTAGTTGCACTTATGGCTAGTAAGAAAAACCATAGTAAAAGTTATAACTACAGTACATCTGGTGAGTCTTCACGTAGAAATGTTAAGAAATTTGATATTTCTAAGGTACGATGCCACCGATGCAATGTTTTAGGCCATCTTCGAAATAATTGTCCAAAGAAAACCGAAAATAAGAAAACTCCAGCGGAAAATTTTTCAAAAACTGAAGCATTTGTTGGAGAAGTTCTTAGTGCTGAAGAAAATGATGTCTGGATTGTTGATTCTGGAGCAACGGATCATATCACACATCGCAAGGAATTTTTTTTCTTCATTTGAATTATTTGAAGAACCTGTTAAGATTTACATTGGGGACAAGTCTACGATGAATGCGCTAGGCAAAGGAACTATACAGTTTGATGCGCTAGTCAATGGAATATGGAACGCATGTCATATGGAAAACGTGTTGTATGTACCAACAGCACGAAGAAATCTTTTTTCTGTGACGTCTGCTTTGGACAAGGGAATGTCATTTAGCTCAACTAACAAAGAGTGTACATTTTCAAAAGGAGGAGTTACAAAAGCTTGTGGTGTAAGAATTGGACAGTTGTTCAAAATGATCATCTGCATAAAGCCACCAAAAATTCCAATGGTAAGTGAAGCAAATATTTCATCTAAAGAGACGTTGCAGATATGGCATGAAAAATTGGGCCATCAAAACAAGTGTCACGTGAAAGAGTTGCTAAAGAAGCACAAAATTGAATTCATTGAGGGTGACGATTTTTGCGGAGCTTGTGTTGAAGGCAAGCAGCATCGTAGTAATTTTTTGAAACGTCAGCAACGTGCAACCGAACCAGGAGAAGTAATAGCAGCTGATATTTGCGGTCCCATGGAATGCCTTTCATTAGGAGGATCAAAATATTTTTTGTGTTTTACTTGCGACTATTCGAAAATGCGTATTGTTTATTTTCTCAAAGAAAAATCCGAGACTGTAAGAAAAATTGCTGAGATGTTGAAAGTTGTGAAGAATCAACTTGGGAGAGCAGTAAAAATTTTTCAATGCGGCGGTGGTTTGGAGTTCGATAACGCTGAAGTGCGGAAACTTATGATGGAGAATGGTATAATATTGTCGGTTACGAATCCATATAGTCCAGAACAAAATGGTTGTGCAGAGAGGACAAACAGGACTGTCGTTGAACTTGCCCGGACAATGCTTCTTGCCAAGAATTTACCGAAACAGTTGTGGGCTGAGGCTGTAAATGCATCTATTTATATTCTAAATCGTACTGGACAGAGTAGTATTCCTGGACAAACACCTTATGAATTGTTTGTTGGTAAGAATATCCACTTAAATAATTTTCACATTTTTGGTACAGAATGCTATGTACATGTACCAAATGTAAAGCGAAAGATATGGGATAAAAAAGGAAAACGTGGAATTTTTGTTGGGTATTCTGATAACGTGGACGGATTTCGGATTTGGTTCAAATCAAAAAAACAAAATTGAACGCAGCAAAAATGTAGTTTTTGGGCCGGAATTGACTGGAAGATTGTTAACTTTATTTCCAAATGAAAATCATAGTCATGGTAACAGTCACGAAAGAAATGAAGTAGTACCACTTCCGGTAGATGTACCCGTTAATCAGGTTGACGATATAATACCTCTAACAGAATTTGCGGAAGATATAGATGATGTTGACGAACAAAGACAATTGCGTGATCGTACAACATTAAAAGCGCCAGAGCGATTGCTAGACATTATGATGGCTGAAATAGAAGAACCAAAATGTTATTCTGAAGCAATACAAACTGCAGAACAGAGACACTGGAATAAAGCAATGAAAGAGGAATTGGACTCGCTTGAAGAAAATCAAACTTGGGAATTGGTTGACTTACCGAAAGGTAAAAAAACCATCTCAAATCGTTGGGTTTACAAGATCAAGCGAAATTGTACTGGAGAAATTGCTCGGTATAAAGCACGATTGGTTGTTCGTGGTTTCAATCAGAGAGAGGGCATTGATTATGAAGAAACATTCAGTCCAGTGGTACGTTTTGATACTATTCGAATTTTTTTGAGTATTGCAGCAAAGGAACGGTTAAAATTAGCTCAATTTGACGTAAAAACTGCTTTCTTATATGGATTCATTGATAAAGAAATTTATATGCAGCAACCTGAAGGTTATGAGGATGGTAGTCAACAAGTTTGCAAATTAAGAAAAGGTCTCTACGGTTTAAAACAGTCACCAAGATGTTGGAACAAACGTTTCAAGGATGTTCTAATTTCTTTTGGATTACAAGAGAGCAAAGCCGATTCATGTTTATATTTTCGTCTAAATGAAAATGATAAGTTGTTGGTTATTCTTTATGTTGACGATGGTCTTGTTGCTGCCACGAAACAAGAAATCATTGAAGATTTCTTGGAAAAATTGAAGGAAGAATTTAAAATAACTATTGATAAAGTTGTTGGAAGTTTCCTGAATATACAAATTGATCGTTTCGATGATGGGTCAATTTTTATAAGCCAAAGAAATTACACTAAAGGACTTCTTCGGAAATATAACATGACTGATGCAAATCCTGTATCGATTCCTATTGAACGATGTCAACTGACAGGGGAAGTACTAAATACTGAACGAACTAATGCCCCTTACCGAGAAGCGGTAGGTAGTTTATTGTATTTGACAGTAGCTACACGACCTGACATTGCCTTTGCTGTGAATTATATTTCGCAATTTGTAGAAAACCCTCAAGAGCAGCATTGGACAATGGTAAAGAGAATTTTAAGGTATTTGAAAGGTACTATTAATTTTGGTATTTGCTATACTGTTACTGGAAATTTTCAAGAATTAGAGTCCTACTGTGATGCCGATTATGCAAGTGACCCTAATACGCGTCGCTCAGTAAGTGGAGTACTTTTCAAGTTCTGCGGTGGTGCTATTGTATGGACAAGTAGAAGACAACAAAGTGTTTCATTATCGACGACAGAAGCGGAATATGTAGCTGCCAGTGAGGCTGCTAAAGACGCTGTTTGGTTGAGTCGCTTATTTAATGAAATTTCTCCGCACTATTTGATGTACCAACTCTTCTGATAGATAATGCAAGCGCTATAAAACTTGCTAAAAATCCAAGTTTTCATAAGCGCTCTAAGCATATTGATGTTAGGGCACATTTTATTCGAGAAAGAGTGCAAAATTGTCAAATGAAGATTGAACATGTATCTAGTAAAAAACAATTGGCAGATATTTTAACAAAACCAATTGCAAGACCCCGTTTTCAAGAACTTCGAACCAAAATTGGAATGATTGAAGTTGAAATTGGTTAGAAGTTATGTTAGGTATATCTGTTATTTGTTACAAGAATTTTGTGTTTTAGGGAAGTGTTGAAAAGAAAAACATTAAAATTAGTTAGATCAAGGTTTCAGTGTGTCAAATAAATAGATTTGTTTGTTGACTGTTATAAAAAAAACTGTACGTTTATTTTTATTAAAAATCGTCTTGAATATCTCATCGTCTCTCGTCGTCTCGATTTTTTCAACAGCTATAAATTTGAACGTGGTTTTAGCCCACAACATTACATACATATATATTTGCAAATTTAGAAATTTGAAAAAAATAAAAGGGTGCATTATAGCTTTAGATTCGTAAGAAATTCTCAAATTCTTAAAACAAAATTCCATTTTGCACTTTTTTTTAATACCAAAGTATATGAATATCAAAAATCAACTCTCTTCCATTTGAAAGTATAAGTGGAACTAGATGAATTTTGATATTAAAAGACTACAAAGAAATGGACGAATTGGAGTACCGGAACGCACGAATACTAATATAACCTGCGAAATATCCCGATCACAAGAAGGCAAGGTGTTAATAGGGAAAAAATTAATTAAAAAAAGGTAGAATTCAATGCATCGGATGGACCCAATGCGGAGTTTTGGGAGATTTTGAAAAGATTGAAAAGAATTTGAAAATCTTTAAGAAGCCGATAAACCCGCAATATAATAATAGGAGATTCAAGACAAAAGATTTATACGAAATTCGAAGAAAGGCGATCTGAAGAAACGGGAAAATTGTCAGAATTCGAAGAACAGGACGAATTTAAACACCCGATATCACAAGAAATTAGAGGAGAACCTTATGTATTGGAAACATTGGAAGAATCGGAGTAATTCGATGAAATCGATCATAAAATGTAAAGAATTGGGAAATTTCAATTTATATAAAGGAAGTAAATAGCTCGGGAGCAGTTTGATTTGTAATTTTGAACAAATTCATTCGTTTATTGTATCGTATTGTCATCATCAACATGCTCATGAAATTATTAACATAGGAAAATAGACTATTAAACTTCAAGGCAGTGATTCAAGATTAATTTCCAAATTGAAGCAGAAAAGACAACGGTGTGTCGCAATCGAGTGACGATTGTACCGTGATCGACAGTGACCTTTGATAGTATTACAAGCATGTTACCAAAGACCAACTTAGAACTTTAGAAAATGTATCATATTAGTTTATTTTTTGATTTGCATGATAATTACTAACCTAAATGTAATGCTATTTGGTATGGTTGGAAAGCATTTTTTCAGAGCTTTCCAACGACGTATCGCACATGGGGGGGGGGTCACTATTTAAGATTTAAAAGTTGGGGCGGCTGAGGCGCAAGGGGTTGGAGAGGGTGCGTCGCCAACTATGTCATTGTGATTCCCCCTTCGAATTACCGAAACGGATTTTGAATTTTTAAAATATCTCGTTTCTTTACTAAGAGATGGGGGGTGGTAAGTTTTCAAATTGCCACCCTGTATAATAGATGGCACCAAAGCGAGATATACTACGACTCTAGAAGAAATCACCGGCGAATTCAGACGAGAGGGAAAAAAGACGACCAAACGTATCAATTATGTATGCGCGCCATAGTTTCTGATGTAGTAAAACACTTTCCGAAATTCCCACGGGAACGGGAACAGCAAAAAATATTATTTTATGATTTACAGTCTACAAGACACTTGACATTTAGAACGTAGATTTATTTGAAGGTGTTAAGGTGTACCTACTCCGAAAGACACTTCTCGAAATTCCCACGGGAGCGGCGTACGGGGAAAAAACAGGATTTTCCAAAGGCAGTACAAAGTTCGCCAGTTCTCTATAAAATATTTGCTTGTAGATTTTATTCGCATTTTTGAGTTATATAAACGTTTTCGTAAATTAAGGTTCAAATTATCAAGTGCTCATGCTAATGGATATAATGGTAATAGCGTTTGTCAATTTTGATGTTTGCTGCAGAAAATAGTAGTGCTTTTGTGAATTCATAAGAACACTAGTGGCTTTATGAAAACCGTAATGACATCCAATAATTGGCCATGCTAAATCTGTCATAATGACACCGTCATAGATTAAGTTCATAAAGCCTCGAGGACGCTCGTGAACGCTCTTGGAGAGTGATTATTATTAACAGCACTGAAACATTATTAAAAGGACTCACAAAACCCCATATGTTCTCTTACTAGAAATTTTTTCAAAAACAAAGCAATGAAAGAAGGTGTAGAATGAACACCCCTTTTGCCGTATTATACAGAGTCTCCAATGACCATTATTATAAGGGAAAATAATACGCATACAGTTCTGAGAGTTTGTATACGTGGGTTATTCAATGAGACGGTTTCATATAAAATACTGAGGATCACACTTATTTATTTTAAATAAGAGGCCTTCGTTTTTATAATACGTATACAGTATACAGGCTTACAATACTCACAAATGGACGCGGTATGTGCAAGTACTCTGGCAAAATAAATAAATACATAAATAAAGAAATATAAAATAATTTACTCCAATTTTTTTAATTAAAAAACGAAGATAAAAACGGAGGCTTCCTATATAACATAGCGCAATGTGAATCTACTTCAGAATATAATTAACAGAAAGTTGTGCAAAACTAAAGAATTTGCTCGCCCGCACGATGCAATAGTTTAGCCATAATATTATGGAAAACGTCAAAAATCGACAGTTTTTTGTTACTTTGACACATGCGCGATTCTGCTCAAAAGCTTTTCAGCTTTTCCTTTAATGTCTAAGAATATGTGTAAGTACCAAATTTGGTTCTAATCGATTCAACCATTTAACCGGGAATGAGAGTACAGACAGCCAGACCGACCGACATAATCGAGATTTTGTGTGATTCGTGTATTTCCGTCAAAAAAAGTGGGGGGAGGGGTCATTTTTTACCCCAATGCAATACCTCCCTTACTAACGTGCGGATGATAAAAACCTCTAGTTGAAACTATCGTCGTTGGTCGCTCTGTATTCTGGTGGCACAATTGACTACATTTTGTAGTTTTAATGAATACAAAACCTCTCAGATGCTTAAAATTCGAAACTCCACTTCTAGTTAGGGGCCCGGGCCCATATGAAAGATCGGTCCCGGTTTTGTTTATATTTAAGCGAAAGTATTTATAACGGTTCCGGTTCTGTTTCGGTTTAAAAAAAATAACGGTTCGGTTCTACGCATTTTTTTTTTGGCCCATAACGGTTCTTTTCGGTTCCGGTCTTTTAGAAAGTATGGCATTCAAAAAATTCATTATAACAAGGTGATTTGTTAATTAATAATAGGTGTAAAGAAGCAGTAAAAAGTCATGAAGACCAAAACGTGACGTATCGTTAGTGTAGCTAATTTATAACATACTACAAGGGCAATAAACGTGGAAGAGAGAAATATGTATTTTTAAACTTAATTTATTAATAAAAAACAGAAAACATACACAAAAAATTATATGTATGGAGTATTGTTTTTTATTTTTATGTTCAAAAACCTTTCCCCTCCTTTTATTATTTACATATAGTGGCTAAATTACCGCCACCGCCACCCGTAGTGCCTTCAATTTTGACCCCTTATTAAAAATTTATAATCCACCGGTGGTAATCATAGAGTGATATTTTATCAATTTTCAGAATGTGTTTGCCGGCACGTCCTTAAACTTCCAATGATTTTAAAGAACTGTAAAAAACCGAAAAAAACCGAAAAAATTCCGGTTTCAAGTAAGTTTCTATTTTCGAAGTTTCGGTACGGTTTTCGATCCTGAAAAAATTACCGGTTCCAGTCCAGTTTTCGGTCCTTTTTCGGTCCGCTCAGGCTCTAAGAACTCCTGCGGTAATTTAAATAGTGGACGCCAGGCTAAACGCGCTAGTTTTACGTTAATAAAAACTGTTATTTTTTTACTGGCAGAAAGTTAATTTGTTCTCTTGCTCTTTTTACTAGGTTCATGCAACAACAAATCAATTTATATGAAGAAAGTGATAAAAAGCATTGTCAAACAGAGACGGCTAGTACTAACGTTCGCTGTTATGGAGATATTTAGATTGGGCGTTGTTGTGGTCGTTCTCAAAAATATATCAAAGCTCGAGGGAAATCATACAACCTTCAATCTATGCACTCGCAATACCAACAACAATTTTTATATTCCCCAGAATATTTGGATTTGCACTAACACGGGGCAGTGGTCGACCGGCAGTTGTTTAGTCGCCTCTTACGACACGCAGTGTCCTCTGCGGTAGGGGTATCCGTTGTCCCCCCAACACGGGTAGATTTAGTCCATCCCAAAAATAAAAACGTGACGTTTGTCTCAAGACACACTACTTCCCCAATCAGAATATTAATCAATGCAAAGAATGAAGAAAATGTTTCTAATTTGGATATAAGACAGATAGTGGATTCGAACAATGTTTAATTGACAATCCGTGCTGAAAGTGAAGACGAACAAATTGGTTACTGAACAAATTCGTTTAATGAAAAAATTGAAGAAATTCTTCCAAATGAAAATCGGGTACCACTTTGATGACATGACTAATTTCTTTGTTCAGAATTTCACTTGTATTACCGGTACTTTATTTTAGTTAGTAAGTTCTCAGATATTTATTACTCATAAGGACAATTTTCGTACACTTTTGGGACTTTTTTGGCATTTTTCTTGACATATAAACGATGATACTGCGAACAAATTTATTTGCACACCGAAAGATTACGAGTTTGCTGATAGGTACTTCACAGATATCGCTCATATCAATCTTTGCTCAGATATTAAAAGCGTGCTTTCAATATTGTAACCAAACACTCGGTCGCAATGCTTCGAATTATCGCAATCGTCCTTTGTTTAATAATGTTTACAAGCGGCCAACACCAACTGCCCCAAGGAAAAGTGGAAGTACTATCTCCGTCAAAATTGAAAGTAACTGTACCAGGTGAGAGGAACTTTTCCCACTTAGAAAAAACATTAGTACTTGTAGAGAAGGCTGGAATTATGCGTGTAAGCTTTTTCGGCCGAGTAAATCAAGAACTTCAAACAAACGATAACGGTACCATCGCCAAGGAGTTGCAGCAAACAACGGGCGGACTTTGGACTGTCGAAGACGCTACCGTCAATTTGAAAGCTGGTGATACTCTGTACTATCGTCTGCACTTCGACTACTTCGATGGAAAGACCGTGAACAACGTTCAGCAGGACATGCAGAAACTAGGTACGTCTTAAAGATTTATGGGTTGAAATTGAACGTATTCTTAGTCATTGATAAGCCCATATTGGAAGCTCCAACTACAAGTAAGCCAACAACAACCACACCGAAGTGCGAGTTCACGCCAACGATGGTCAACGGCAAACGTAGCTGCAGTGGAAAAATCATATTTCAAGAATTTTTTAAGGAAATCGCTCCAATCCGATGGCAAACCGAAACGAAATTCGCGCAAGGACCCGTAAGTTAAACGTCCTTAATCCAAGTTTAAGCTTCAGTTTAAGGACTACGAGTTCGTCATGTATCAAGCACACGCCGAAAATTTGTTCATCCAAAACGACATGCTGCACATCCGCCCGACACTTGTCGACAGCAGACTAGGTCCCAAAGCGACCTTAACCATAACGGAGTACGACATAGGAGAAAAGTAATCGCCACATAATCTCTCTCCGAACTGACCTTAAGGATTGTAGCTGTACGGGAGTACCCGACTCGCTCGAGTGCGTGCAAAGACCAAAAGCCTGGATGGTCCTTCCTCCCATCTTCTCATCTCAGATTACTACAAAATATCGCATGTCGTTCGTTTACGGCACGATCGAAGTTAGAGCCAAACTACCGAAAGGCGATTGGATTTATCCACGTACGTGTATTCCTCGAACTGGATTGGAGTATATTGTGTTCTTTAGAGTTGCAGCTGAGATCAAAAAGTGACTATTACGGGCCCGACTACGACTCAGGTTTAATCCAGATAGCGTTTGCACCGGGCAACGCGCGTAATAATAAAGTTTTGAGCGGCGGTTGCGTCTTCGGCGAATCGGTTTTTGCGAGGAACTACGGCGTTCGGACTATACAGTCGACGAAGGAGTGGTCCCAGAATTTTCACATTTTTAAACTGGAGTGGAGGCCAGGTGAGCGCTTCAGATGTCCGGACGGTTTCTTAAGTCGGAATTGCAGATGGGGTTACTTTAAGTGTTGATAATGACGTTTACGGAAATATTTATCCGCCCGATGGGGGTTTCGCTACAGAGACGGAATTGGGTATGCACGGTGCCACGGTCCAACGGTGGCGAAAGGGTAGCCAAATGGCGCCTTTTGACAAAGAGGTATGTATATCATTCGTCAATGGGCAGTAGAGAAGAAAATGGTTTCAGATGTACCTGATGTTTGGGGTTGGGGTGGGTGGTTTTACTTTTGGAAATAGGAAAGGGGTGCAGCAGCCGTGGGATAACGACGATCCGAAAGCGCAACTAAACTTTTATAAAGCCACCGATCAGTGGTACGGTACCTGGAGCAACGACAGCCGGCTAATTGTCGATTACGTCCGAATATGGGCCTTGTGATTATAGTATTTAATTATTTATTTTTGTACGTAAGATTTTATTTATTAGAGTCTCAGCCATGACTTACAATTTCTATAAATCTTTCAGTATTTACCACCTTTCACACATGCTAAAGACGACTGTGTTTGACCACAAACCCCCACATCAATTTAAGGAAGTATTTACAAATTTGGAATAAAGATGCAAATTTACATCAGTCCCCACAAAACTTGCATATTCTCTTCCACAACCTCAACCGTTAGACATTTAAATTGCACAATTCTATAGAACTTGCTTTACGGTATTTAAAAAATTCAATACCCAAGAAACTGTAATAATACCCTTGAAATTTTTTTCGTATATGGCAGCATTAACGATGTGTCTAAGACTATGTTTAAAATGTGCTTCCTGCCTACATCCTTATTCCTTATAATAGGCTTTTGCATTTGGATTTTGCAAGTACACCTTTTTTCTGCTTCTACAACAAGCCACTGAATGGACTTCTTCAACCGAAGTGATTTTATTTACAAAGACGGTGATTTTTATAAACAACACTTGACATTTCCATGGAATCACGAATAATCAGTCCACTTAGAAATGTATAACATCAATATGATTTCATTCTATTTCCCTTATTTTTAAATTGTTTTCAGTTATAATAAAAAATACTATACGCGTTTCTTAATATACTATTTTAATACGCAACAGAATGTTTTCAAAATATGCATGATGACGCTTAATCTCAAGGGAACAGATAAAATAATACGAATAAATTGAACTGCAATAACCTCTGATCACTTCGAGATTTAGTAATTTAATGTAAAAAAGAATTTTTGATAAACTGGTACTAGGCCGCGATTTTTTGGAATCGCATTTTTCGAAAACGAAATCTTTAATTTTTGTGCAAATCATTTATCATATGTATTTAAAATACTTATTTGGAGTTTCAAATGTTTACAAAAATTTAGGCTGTATCATTTGAACAAATATTGATTTTTACGTACGAGGAGTCGTTTTTATATTCCCGAACAAATGTTGATGTTATTATTAATTATGCTGTTTAAGGTTTACAGTCAGCCTTCTGCAGAAAAAATTCATCGATCGATTCACTACGTAACTTACTTGCGTTATCGGCGGTAAGGCAAACAATTAAACAAAATGAACACCCAAGGCTCACTTCTCGTCTCCTGCAGGACATAAGTAAATTCAGAAACTACTGTGTAACGAAGCGCCCAACTTAAAACACTTCTAGATACCGGGTGTTCAGCAAAGCTGTCGACTCGACAAATATGTATAAGGTTTGGTCATAACTTCGGATATGAAACCCTGTTATTGAACGTAATTGGGGATTGGTATTGGAGCTTTCAGACGGGACATCCTGTACAATGTTGTGATTTATTTTGTTTAGGACCTGAGGGACGGTTTATCAAGTCGACACAGAATTTTGGGATTTTATTTAATGGTCATTGTAATGTTTTATTTTTCTTCGTATAGTTGACGACGTAGTTTGGTTGTTCGTTCTTCGTCGGTCATTAACGACGAGGCGGGAAAATAGAGTAGGGGTACTAATCTCTTAAATAAGCGGAGGAAGTTAACGAAGGGGCTGTCCCTTTGATTTTCGAATACCTGCGTAACTCATCTCAAAAAGATTTTTTTTACGAATTTTGTCTCAAGTTAAGCTGATAGTTGTAGTCAGCCTGTATACTCAGAGTTATGTTCCAGCCGCCTTACAATTTTTATTTCGGAATTTTGTAATTGTGTTTTTTTTTATAATAAATATTTGTTTGTATGTGGTACCCGAATGGGATTTCTAATTAGCTTCAAAATTGATGTAGCGTTTCCGTTAGGGAATTTGATTGCGGCATTTAATTTTATTCTGTAAGTGTGCAAAGTCGTCCGGATTTCTCTTTGTGCCGGGGCCCAACTGCACCCTGAGTTTGGTGTTGAAAGTTAATACAATTCAGGATAATAGTAATTATGAGCTAGCTATAATAGGTAGGTGTGCACAGCATTAATTTTGGTGCCCAACGTGAGGCATTGCACTTATTTGAATAGTAATCGCGAGTCGGTTTATTAGCGATACCCGGGCGCGTTTATAATGCAATTGGTTGCAATAGCAGACGCGAGCCGCCAAAGTTGCCTTGGGGCCCTATCGGAAATACCCTCGAGATTAGATATCAATTGAAGCTTGTGGTTGGTGGAAATGCAGTGGTGTTATTTTTTATTGGTAATTCAATGACAAATTGGAAAAAACATGGCCGACATGGACCATTATGTCCTCACTGTCTTTATACAGTCACTGTACATTGTCCACATTTAAAGCGGCATCTTTTCAAGTGCCGTTTTGTACCATAGGGACACCATCGATTTTGGAAAACACTATAGTTAAGGTAACATAATTTTTTTTTGATTTGGATAAAGAATAAAGATCGAATCTCTTTCAGAGATTGTAGAAAATTGCAAAAATTCTTAAAGGAATCGATGTTGGTAAATTGGCAGAAAGGCGTACACCTGTATCACAATTAATAACTACCCGTGGAATCGTCTAGAAAGAATTTTGATTATTTTCATCCTTTTGGAAGTTTTATTTTAGATAAATGAGAATGTTCTTTAAATGATTTCAATTTTGGGTACCTAGCATTTTTTTTGCAAGAAATTGTCATTTTTTTTTGTTCGTGGAAGAAGGAAATGTGGCCACGATATACAATTTAAATTTTCAATACTCGTCATAAACGTAGAAAAATTTAAGAAACAGAGAAACTGGATCTATTTTGATTTTGGTCAATATTCGGTTGATGTATTGTTCCATCGTTCTTTGATTTTAAACGTGTTGTGTGATGCAGAATGGAATCAAAGAAAATCTTTTTTAAACACGTTTTTATTAGGTCCTATTGCGGCTATCGATTTCGACCTTATTGTCTTGAAACACGTTTCAAGACAATTATACACAACCTCACTTTTAGTATACTTAAAAACATCTTTCCTGATAACTAATACATACAACACCGTTAATAATATTACATGCCTCATCATTTCACCGTATTGACGCTCGGCCTGAAGATGACCTTATAAGGTCGAAATCGATAGCCGCAATAGGACCTAATAAAAACGTGTTTAAAAAAGATTTTCTTTGATTCCATTCTGCATTTGGTCAATATACTCAATCACTCAAACCAAAGCGCCAAGTTTTGATTTTCAGATTTAGAGAAAACAAGCTGTTACACGATGCACAAATATACAAAGTGTACGATCTAAGTTTCGAAGTTTAGAATCAGTTGAATATATGAGCAGATAATCAGAAGCAAATATATACTCGGTCTTTGAAGAAAATGGTTTGTTTGTACGTATAAGCTATGATCTGTCCAACTCATATTCCTCTTTCTACTCTAAAGGTTTTATGAGACCTCTACTCCTTCAGTTCTTTCCAGAAATACGAGTACATTTCTTGCACTGAGTTATTTAGCTAATCTACAATTATAACGGACCAAGTAGATAAATTATTACCTAGAAAACGGCTCAGAAATGATGAAAAAATAGGTCACGTCCCATTTTGGGAGAATGATGAAATTGTAACAGGTGGCTTCGTTGCCGTTTCAAAAATTTGATTTTGAATCTGTATTTTGTTAAACATATCGAAGTTTACACATATACCGCTTCAAAGCGCATGTGAGCAAAGTATGTCAGTCGATAGCAAGCCATAATAAAACCTATTAGGGAAAGCGAGCGGCGTTGCCACGATCTCTTCGGACCTAAAAGTGGCGTTCATTCCATTTGAGCCGGCTGAAAAAACCAAAACGCGGGTTTTCTATCGGTTGTTAGGGCACGCCAGTTTAGGCCATTGTGTTTAGAAAAAAACCTTCCACATCAACGCCGTTTAGCACACTGATTGAGAAGGCGTGGCCGAATAAACCTCTAGCGGCAGAATCGCGGACTACGAAAACTGCGCGCGCAGCAGCGTTATTCGGGAAACTTTTGGGTACCTGTGGTACTTTCAAAACACAATTTTTTTGCAAATATGAATACGTTTGTGGAGTTCTTATAAATCAGTAGAGGTAAGAGAAACATATGGAGTCAGTCAAGACCAGAGCTGTGGAAAGCGCTTTTGCAATGGGCTTCATTCCAAAGCCCTCAAACCCGTGTAAGAGGAATGGTGAATGGAAAGCTCAAATTCCTCTTAGCACGAAAAGGGCTTAAAATTCCAAAGCCCTTTAAAAAAGGCTTAAAGTTACAAAGCCTTAAGCTCAAAGCCCTTTGAAATTGAATTGAATTCCTTTTTAAAAATGAATTGAAATCCGTTAGGAAAAGGAATTGGGATTTGGAATTAAAAGAAATTGAAATCCTTGGCAAAGGAATGGAATTCCTTTGCAAAAGGAATTGAAATGTCTAATAAAATATGAATGATTATTTAACAAGTGTTTTTCGTTTTTATAAAATCTTTGAGTGAAGGGATAAAATATAATGAGAATACAGGACCCAGTAGCCGTAACGTAATAAATATAAATAGTTTCCACAAGTGCTGGTTTGGTTTGCTTGCTTGCTAGTAAATAATTGCATATAATTGTATTATAATTTAGTTAAGGCTCTAGATAGAGGTAGGTACTTACACTTTATCCCATTAGAGAACAACAACACCGCACGCACTAACAGTTCTACGTACTGCAAAGTGCAAGCTCACAAAAATTGGAAATAAAAAATGATATGGGAGTGGGAGGCATATAAGGAATTGAAGCCTTTTTAAAGAGGATTTCAAGCCTATTAAAAAGGAATTGAAGCTCTTTAAAGGGAATTGCATCCTTAAAATAGAGTTTTCAATGAAAAAGTGATTTCCATTCTTTTAAAAGGAATTTAAGCTCTTGGTCTGAAATCCAAAGCCCCAAGCTCACGCGAAAAGGCTTTAGACGTAAATTCCAAAGCCCTGTTTTTAGAAAAGGCTTGAAGCCTTGGAATTGCAAGCTCTTTTAGAGCTTGAGGCTTTCCAAGCCTTTTGTACCAATTCCTTTGCACAGCTCTGGTCAAGACCCTAATTTCAAGTTTCAAAATCCAATGCTAGAGATTTCAATTCAAGCTAGAACATGTTGTGGTCGTAAAGTAGATATTGAATTCGTCAAGACCGTAAATCCAAAATCGTCACGAAAAAATCCGTGACATGGATAGTTTGAAATTTCGTAGGAATTTTGTTTTGAACTGTTTACCGATTGACAATCACCTGTCAAAATAATAATAAACATAACCACTTGTCAAACTTCAAAATGACAAATTAACTGTGTCACAATTTTCCAATTGTCGCGTGGCAGAAAAAACATGATACAAAAATTAAAACCAAACGTAAGTTACCACTTCAATGTTTAGAAAAAGCATTAACCGATTATTGTTTACAGGTCTAAGAAAGCATCAAACTTCCGACACTTGTGAGTATAGGCGTTACGCTTGGTAAAGCATTCTCATTAAATTTTCGGTTTGTTTTAGACACGACTCTTAATGCAAAGTGAGAGGGTAAGTAAGTAGAAATAAAATATCAATTGCTTTAATGCACATTGCAATTTCCTCATCATAACGCCCAAACTTTAACTTGGTCGATAACTAGATCGCTGGTATCGCCCCAAGTCTTTTTCCATACATCCCTCGCCTTGTAAAAATTCAACGGTCCTTTGGGATCAAAATTTTCCCATGGTTTTGCACTGCCTTCGGAGTCCGGAAAGAGTTGGCCACCAACCCCAATTCCTAGCACCAAATACATCTAAAAGACCAAATTCACGTTCACCCTATGAAAATGTATGGCTACCTCTTTGTCGAACGGTGCTATTTTCGATCCCTGCTTCCACTTCTCCAGTACTTCTGGACTGTGCTCCAAGTCTGACAAGCTACCAAATCCGTCTTCAGGCGGTTCAACTACGCCGTAGACTTCATCGTCGACCGTGAAGGTGATCGAGTCTAAAATTGCAATTTAAGCCGTGACACGCTTGGAAGTCGATTACCGGCGGTCCAAACAATTTTGAAGTCGTGAAAATCGTGATTCCAATGCGTGGGCGAGGAAACGTTTTTAATTCCGTAATTCCTGCCGAAGTCCGACTGACTTAAAATCACGCCACCGGCCAGAGTTTTGCTCATGTTCGCGTTACCAGCCACGTGCGCTATTTTGATTAGGCCCGACTCGTAGCCTGCGCCATAGAATTCGCTTTTGGGCTTCAGGTACAACTCTAAAATCGAACGTTAGCTCACCGGTCTGTTAAGTTTCGAGGGGCGTACGTGGATATATCCAATCTCCTTTCGGGAGTCGAGCTCGAATTTCTACAATACCGTAGAGGAAAGAGAAATGTTTTTTTGTGGAGATCATGCTTGAGATTGTAGGTGGAACGATCATCCACGCTCTTGGTCTTTGCACGCAGTCTTCCGTTGCTGGCCGGCCCGTGCAGCTGGAAAGGTGTTAAAGAAATGTCATGGAGGAAGTTGGAGCTTACGTATCGCCTAGATTAAGTTCGCGGTCTCCAGTGACGAAACCATTGCCGTACTTGTCGTCGGTAAGCGTTGGTCGAATGTGGAGCTTGTTCTTATTTAGGTACAAATTTTCGGCGTTCCCTTGGTAAATAGTGAATTCATAGTCCTGAAAAAAAAGCGACTAGTGGGGATAGTGTTAGTGGCCAAATTTACCGGTTCGCCTGCAAATCGATTTTCGGTGAACCACTTGCCAGCCAATTTTGAAAAACCATCCTGAAAGATCAATTTACCGCGACAACTTCTTTTTCCGTTCACAAATGTCGGTGTATATCCACAAGCAGCTGCGGGTCCCGTAGGTTTCTTGCTTGTCACCGACGCTTGGGTTAACGGTGCGGGGGTTGTGGTTGTGGTGGTAGTTGAGGTTGTGGTGGTAGTTGCAGTTGTCGATTTTCTCTTATCGGTCAAACCGAGTAGTCCTAAAAATGTGGTTAAATCAATTCTTCTGTGCCGCGTAATACCTGGAAGTGAAATTTGCACGCCGTCTGGTTTTAAAAGTCCCAATAATCCTCCTTCTAATTGCGCGTCAATTACCCGAAAGCAAAATAACACTAAAAGTAACCTAAAACTGACCATTTTTAGTGCAGACGCACGAATCGTAAACGTATAAATGGTACGAAACGATTTGGTTAAGGTGTACTATCATCGAATAACCAGTTTTTGATTACGAATCATGCCGGGTAACTGTCCTCAAGCGGATGGGTACTAATGATAAAAAGAACATGTTTCCACATACGTACCTAAACGGAAAAGATGCGACTCTTTAACCTTGAAGTTTGCAATTATTAACTTCGTAAACACATCAGTGCCAAATCATGGAACACCGCTATCCAACGGATCATAAAATTCCAATTATTGTTTGTAAATTATTCAAGTTATGTAAACGATCAAGGAAATTTGGAGAATGTAGTTTTTACAATTCTCTTAGAATTGTGGCTTTTCAAGGGTGTTCTTTAAAAATACTGCAGCACCCAATTTCTTTTATAGCAACAATTGCAATGTATCTTAAATGCGATGAATTGTATGTACAAGGGTGCCGCTGAGACCTTGTGGTGGACCAGTTTTAAGATTACATAAAAATATGTTGTTTATTCTTCATTGGCGTTCACAGAGGTAAAACAATGTGAGAATCTGATACAAATGCCCAATTTAAAACAATAACTCATGATTGTTGAAAATTCCGTTTCAACAATCATCCGATACTTATCGAAAGATCGATAACTGTCGCTATATCGATAAGTATCGGTATATCGATTGTTCTCGTTATGGCGATAGTTTTTAATATATAGGTATCGATATAATATCGATAAGTTGGGAGTGTGTAGCTCAATAGGTTGGATCTCAACAATAACATAATTTTATCGTACCAATAGTTATCGACATATCGAATATCAATACTTAGTTATCGACATATTGATATATAAATAGTTATCGACATATCGATATATCAATAGTTATCGACATATCGATATATCAATGGTTATCGACATATCGACATATCAATAGATATCGACATATTGATAGGTATCGATACATCGATACTTATCGATTAGTATCGATATATCGATAGTTATCGATCTATCGATATATCGATTTTTTTAGTTCTGCCTATTGTTATTCGATAACTATCGATACCTATCGATATATCGAAAAAAATTCCCATGCCTAGTTGAGGTCATGGAAATAGATATTTATTTGGAATTTTCACCCAAGGGTCCTTTACACAGTTTAGACGACACCTGTACTGCTAGAAAGGGTGACCAAGGGCGAGCTCATTTACTGTTAGACAAAGAGACAACGATAACAAATTTTGTGCACCTTTCTCAAGGTCAAAAGTAGCGTATCAACGTATATCGTACCTCTGTTGAGCAGTCCTAGGTACTTTTCAGTAATTTTTGAAATTGTTGACAACTCAACAAACAAAAATTTATTAATAAACGCGTGCCATCAATTTTATAATGATATTGGTGAGAAAAAATAATAGGGCGCTAGCACATTGACAGACGTTTCTCGTTGTCTTGGTAGCATATATAATAATGTTCCAAAAGTTTGATCTGTCAATATGAAATATAATATCAAATGTATTAATTAAATACATTAGTGGCAGATATAGGGAATGCAATCCCGCAGCAAAATCTCAATCCCGGTATTTGCGGGAACGTTATATGTTAATCTCGCGGGATCCCGCAAAATTTTTAATAAATTGGCAAATAAGCAATTTTGTGTGGTTAACTTCTGTATTAAAATAAATCGCTAATCATCACAATATTGAACACAAAAGAACCTTCAGCCTAACTTAGAACTCAAAAAAACCTCACCTGTACAGTACAAAAAGGTGAACTTCTAAAGTGCCTCAAAAATCATAGTACATTTAAGTTTAACAATTATTTTAACAATAACTTCTCCGTTATGCGTTTTATTAATAAAGTAAACAGAGTCGTCCCCTTGGTCGACAAATTCCTCAGTCCCGCAAATTCCGCGGGATCCCGCCCCATTTATGTGCGGGATTAATCCCGGAACAATGCTCGGGATCCCGCGATCCTGGTATTGCATACCCTACTAATGCATATTCCGATGCGAGATTTTGAAAAAAATGAATCGCTTTTAGTCCGAGCCCAGTTGGATTAGTAGGAAAGTATACCTTGAACGCCCGGACGATTCTAATAATTTTCAGAGGATTCGCCATAAAAAGTTATACTAGAATCGACAACGGTGCCGGCGAAAATCCTGCCGAAAGCTATTAAAAAAAAATTAAATTCGCCCCTTATTTTTGGAAAATGTACTTTATTGTCCCGGACGTTCAGGAAGAGTACTAAAGGGTGCATACGGATGAGTTTTATCGGAAAAAGTCACGGTGCCGGAGCGCAACTTGCCGCAACCCTTGACACCGCGACTACAAATGGGGTGGTAAATCGTAGGTACTACACTACTTTCTCCCCGGACCAAAATGACCTATATGAAAAATGTAGCTTGCGATTATACGAATATAAAGCACCAACGGTGCCGACTCTCAGGATGCCGGAAGTCCTCGGCACCGTCGATGGAATCCTATTGGCACTGCGCCAATAAAAGAGGCGGTAAATTGTAATAATCCAGCTTGTATTCCCGGACCAAAAAGTCCTTAATGAAAAATGTCCGATCACTTCTGTGACTGCGAGAAAAACGACTTAAGTCCATTTTCTCAAACTTGTGACGATACAGACTTGAATGAACACAAATAGGCTTATGCCCTTATTTCGGTCACTTAGAGAATCATTCTTTTATAGGTTGCACCACTTTTTTGTTCAAAAAAACCAAAAAAAGAACCGACAAAATCGTTTTTAATTCATATACCTACGTTAATTTTTTGAAAAGTAAAACAATTGACTTCTGTGGTTATGCCTGAAAGCAACCCAAAAAAAGTAGAAATGATCGAAGTTGACTCGAAATGATTCTTGCTTTTTTGAAATCATTTTACTGCAATTCAATCAGAATTAAACTCATAACTGTTCCGAGAGTCATCTAAATCATTTTCTTCCACATCGGTGTCTAGTTCCGAGTTTCAGGACGGTTGATTTTCAAAATATCATCGACGCTCAAAGGAGTAGGATCGCCCTCGATCGAGCGTGATACGTTGTTTTTCTGCCGCATTTTTCCACATAGTAGTAATAAAAATCGTTCGGAGAATCTTTTGTTTTAATGATTTGACAAGGTCATTTTGATCCGGGAGAAAAAGGTAGTTTAATATGATTTAACATGTAGTCGCGGTGCCAAGGGTTGCGGCAAGTTGCGCCCCGGCACCGTGACTTTTCCCGATAAAACTTATCCATATGCACCCTTTAGTACTCTTCCCGAACGTCCGGGACAATCAAGTACTTTTTCCAAAAATAAAGGGCGAATTTAATTTTTTTTTAATAGCTTTCGGCAGGATTTTCGCCGACACCGTTGTCGATTCTCATACAACTTTTTATGGCGAATCCTATGAAAATTATTAGAATCGTCCGGGTGTTCAAGGTATACTTTCCTACTGGGCTCTTGGACTATTCGTAGATAATTCAAAAAAGTGAAAATCGGCATTTTTAAAAAGTTCAAATATTTTAGTAACAAAAAGAAGTTTCAAATAAAAGTAGCAAGATTGGATGGGATAAATTCAATGAACGTAGAAAAAAATTATTTAAAATGACGGTTTCCGAGATATTGACATCAATTTCCTTATTTTAAATGGATCCCATATTGGATTTTTACGTCAATCGATAGAAAGAAAAATTACAAAACCAGTGATACTAAAGACTTAGTATTTCATTTGGGAATCAACCTTACATTTTTGCCTCGAAGTTTACAATGCATTTCTTATGGCAATAATTCAATACGGTAATAAATCAGATGCTAGTTGTGAAAAAAAAGTATTTCGCGCAATTTAATGAATAATCAGTTGTAGAAAAAATGTACATACATTAAATAAATTAAAGCGATGGGGTATACAAGAGGGAATTTTTTTTAAATATTGATTTATGAAAAAAATTTATTCTTCATAGTTTTTGCTTGCTTTGAAAGTACCAATAACGTTTCGATTGTTTGTGGTTTGATAGCAATACGCTATCTTGATTATAATGTGATATGATGTAATAACTTTCAATAAAAAGAATTAATTTTATTATTTTTCCAGATTTCTATAAATAAATTTTAGATTATCGAAACCTTATTGGTACTTTCAAAGCAAGCAAAAAATATCATGAAGAATAAATTTTTTTCATAAATCAATATTTAACAAAAAAATTCCCTCTTGTATACCCCATCGCTTTACACCCTGTATAACACTAGCGCGAAGGTATTTCGCACATTTGACTGGTATTTTAACTCAGCTTAGCAGAAGTTGATCCATTAAAGGCCACGAATTAATTTGTTAAAGGCTTTTCGGATCTTGAGTTTTGGAGAACAATTTGATGTAGGTATACATATATGCATATAGCTGTAGGATGAGGACAGTAAAAGCCTTTCGTAACTGTAAATCACCTGTATTACTTTCTAAAGACTCATACAATAGCAAAGCATATCACACTAGGCATTCCTTTGGGATTTAGGGTACCTATTCATCTTCTACAAAAAATCCGTCATCAAATGCCACTAGCCTAAGTGGCACTACAACGCCCAAACTTTCACATAATCCACCTCCAACACGCTATTGTCGCCCCAAGTCTGCTTCCAGGTGGTCTGATTCCTGTAAAAATACAAGGGAGCCTTGGGATCACCATTCTCCCACGGTTTATCGGCCATTGAATCTGGAAACGCCATTCCGGCCGCTCCAACTCCCAGCACTACGTACATCTAAAGAGAATACGTCACAAATTAACAGTTATCGCAGATTAATCTTTCACCTCCTGATCAAAAGGCGCAAGTACCGTTCCCTTTCTCCACCGATCAGCAACGGCGGGATCTACCTGTATTATGTTGTGATCGATTGCAAAACCGCCGGCTGGTGGGTATACTGTGCCAAACGCCACTCCGTCCACTTTTACGACAATACTGTCTGGAAGGCTACTTTGAGTGGAACAAAGTAAACAATGAAAGGCATACCGGGCCTCCACTCGACTCGATACACGTGATAAGCATCGGTCCAATGGGAGTAAGAGAAAATCTTTTTCAACGCGTAGTTTCGGGCGGCATCCGAGTCTCCTAAAACGCCACCAGCGTACAACTCATTGTCTAACTCTTGGTTTCCGTATGCCAACGCGATGCGTATACGACCCGAATCGTATCCAGGACCGTAAGCGTCACTTTTTGGTACTAGGCTGATTTCTAAAACAAGGTGAATGTGGCCAAGTTGTGATCGAATGCCAACGTACCTGGATACAACCAGTCGCCCTTTGGCAACTTGGCTTTAACCTCGATAGCCCCGTAGACAAAGCTAAAACTCTCCACTGTTGATATCTGCGCCGAAGTCACAGGAGAAAGTATGTGCCATCCCTTGGGCGTTTGAATACACTCCGGCGATTGCAGGAGCCCTGTGCACCTGAAAGTGTTTAATAAATTGACGTCTTTGAAACTCAACTCACCGAGTATTTAAGTCCAATTCGCGGTTGATCGAATCCCTGCCGTATACATCTTCAGTCAGTTGGGGTCGTATGTGTAAGGCTTCACCTTCGGTGTACAGTACTTTGGAATCATCGTCGTAGATTACAAATTCAAAATCCTGAAGTGAACTGTTAAAGGCAAACGTAAGAGTTAGTATCAGTGTAGCTTACTGGAACTTGAGGAAACTTGACTTCTGGCTTCCACTTCGTCTTGTCTAACCTCGAGAAGGTCTCATGGAAAATGAGCATTCCTTTGCAAGCAGTTTTTCCGTTTAGCTTTGTTTCGCCGCGCACGCAAAGTGGACGAGTAGTCGTCGTGGAAGTGGTGGTCGTCGTAGTTGATGAGACGGAGCCGTCACCTGCAATTAGTTCTGCGAACATTTGTTTAACTAGCTCAGCTTTACAAAACTCACCACTGACCGTAAACGGCTCTCCGTCCTTTTCGTAACCACTTCCATCGTAACGCACATGAATCCAATAATAAAGTTTATCGCCTGGTTTTAGACGAGCATTTTTAGCGAAAAAGGTCCACCGTCCGTTTTCGGCGCCGCGAATGTCCTCCGAAAAAATGCCTGCTTCGCGTCCATTCATCGGACTGTTAATTTTCCCATGAAACGCAAATAGCTGGATTCCATCTTCGTCTACAAGAGCCATATGTGTTCAAAGCGACAAAAATGTTTAATAAACCTGGTATTGAAACTCTCAGTCCTTTTGGACTTAATGGTTCGATTAACACATCGGGAAATTCGTAATATTGACCACTGACACTAAATATACCATAAAAACACAAAACTTTTGTTAGTGGGTGCATTTTGTGCTAGTTATTCTGCACTTGCAGCACGCAAATATTTAAGAAATATTATTTTATGATGTCTTGGTGTGTGGACACTGTCGACAGAGATCAGGTTTCATAGTTAAGATTGCAGTGACCTCTAAATTTTAAGTGGGAATTCTGTGACGTATACCTACGATAATTAAAACTATATCATTAAAAATACTACGAAGTTTTGTTTTTCACTAATTTCTAAGTGTATGAGTTGGATTTTTCATTTTGTTTTGCCCATTAAACAAAACGCAAGATTTAGGTATAGGTAATAATTACTTCGGGTTTCTAACTGCCCCCTACCCCGCCGTCTTCTCATTCAGAAATTAGAATTAAAACCGTGTCTTTATACTTTCCATATACCTACCTATATCCAAAACCTTCAAAAATAATTAATTTAAGGGTATAAGCAGAGAAAACAGGGCGAAAAGGGGCAGACCACAGGAAGCCAAAGATAATGAGACTTAATTTAATTATTTGTTATTAATTTTAATGTTTGTATTCATTTCGAGGTCACCTAATTAACTGTGATTGACATGAAAGGCTTTGTAGGAATGTCAAAACTCGCGTGGGTTGATATAATATCATCCATACAGAAATTAATAACGATAATCCGGCAGTTAGTTTTCCAAGATACCAAAACAATGTGGGCTCAAAAGAGGTTTAAAATAAGAGGTGGGGAGGAGGGGGGGGGGGATCAATAGAAAATAAATACTCGCGTTTAAACCTGCTTCAAAATTAATTTATTTTTGAAACTGAATGAGAGTCCCAACAGTCTCAAATAACGGGCTACACACTGGTTTGTAAGACATGTTGCACTTGAAACCAACCAGGGTTATCAAATCAGGACTTAAACACTGCGTGCGATACATGTTCACAACATCAACTCTGTTTCAGTACGAGACACCGACTGTGCGCATGCGTATAACTCCTTATTCAGCCTGTCCGTCAAAAATCTGCTACTAGTTCAAAAGTTACAGCCCTTTGAATTTTCTTTCGAAATTGGTTTCTAGTCTATAACTTTTGCTTGAGAAGTCTGATCGAAAAAGTACGAATTGTTTTGGATTCTACGCACCAAAATTAATAAGAAAAAGTGTTTTCCCGAGAAATTTTGGTGCAGTCGATTTTTGGTAAAAAAGGAAGGTTTATACACTGCCTTTTTTTGAGCCCCGAAAAAAAAATTGTCTCAGATCGATCCGGAAAAAAATTTTCTTATAGAATGTGGCCTGTAGAATCCATAATTTCAAACAGTTCCAAGATTGGGCTGCTAGTTCAAAAGTTACAGCCCTTTGAATTTTCTTTTGAAATTGGTTTCTAGTCTATAACTTTTGATTGAGAAGTCTGATCGAAAAAGTACGAATTGTTTTGGATTCTACGCACCAACATTAATAAGAAAGTGTTTTCCCGAGAAATTTTGGTGCAGTCACTTTTTGGAAAAAAGGAAGGTTATACACTGCCTTTTTTTTGCCACGAAAAAAAAATTGTCTCAGATCGTCCCGGAAAAAAATTTTTCTTATAGAACGTGGCCTGTAGCATCCATAATTTCAAACAGTTCCAAGATTGGGCTACTAGTTCAAAAGTTACATCCCTTTGAATTTTCTTTCGAAATCGGTTTCTAGTCTATAACTTTTGATTGAGAAGTCTGATCGAAAAAGTACGAATTGTTTTGGATTCTACGCACCAACATTAATAAGAAAAAGTGTTTTCCCGAGAAATTTTGGTGCAGTAGATTTTTGGAAAAAAGGAAGGTTCACTGCCTTTTTTTTGCCACGAACAAAAAATTGTCTCAGATCGTCCCGGAAAAAAATTTTTCTTATAGAACGTGGCCTGTAGCGTCCATAATTTCAAACAGTTCCAAGATTGGGCTACTAGTTCAAAAGTTACAGCCCTTTGAATTTTCTTTCGAAATCGGTTTCTAGTCTATAACTTTTGATTGAGAAGTCTGATCGAAAAAGTACGAATTGTTTTGGATTCTACGCACCAACATTAATAAGAAAAAGTGTTTTCCCGAGAAATTTTGGTGTAGTCGATTTTTGGTAAAAAAGGAAGGTTATACACTGCTTTTTTTTGAGCCCCGAAAAAAAAATTGTCTCAGATCGACCCGGAAAAAAATTTTCTTATAGAATGTGGCCTGTAGAATCCATAATTTCAAACAGTTTCAAGATTGGGCTACTTGTTCAAAAGTTACAGCCCTTTGAATTTTTTTTCGAAATCGGTTTCTAGTCATAACTTTTGATTGAGAAGTCTGATCGAAAAAGTACGAATTGTTTTGGATTCTACGCACCAACATTAATAAGAAAAAGTGTTTTCCCGAGAAATTTTGGTGCAGTAGATTTTTGGAAAAAAGGAAGGTTCACTGCCTTTTTTTTGCCACGAACAAAAAATTGTCTCAGATCGTCCCGGAAAAACACCTTCCTTTGAAAGTGAGAGTATTTATTTTGTACAAAAATCAAATTCCGCCGAATAGCCTAAGTGAATTGTTAATCAACCATATAGTTCACATTCCGCACTACAACGCCCAAACTTTCACATAATCCACCTCCAATACGCTACTATCGCCCCAGGTCTGCTTCCAGGTGCTCTGATTTCTGTAAAACTGCAGGGGAGCCTTGGGATGATCGCTTTCCCACGGTTTATTGGTCATCGACTCCGGAAACCCCAATCCGCCCACTCCAACTCCCAGCACTATGTACATCTATAAAGGATATGGCACAAATTAACAGTTATCGTAGACTAATCTTTCACCTCTTGATCGAACGGCGCAAGTACTGTTCCCTTCCTCCACCGATCAGCGACGGCGGGATCTACCTGTATTATGGTGTGATCGATTGCAAAACCGCCGGCTGGTGGGTATACTGTTCCAAACACAACTCCGTCCACTTTTACGACAATACTGTCTGGAAGGCTACTTTTAGTGGAGCAGGGTAAACAATGAAAGGCATACCGGGCTTCCACTCGATTCGATACACGTGGTAAGCATCCGTCCAGTGGGTGTAAGAGAAAATCTTCTTCAACCCGTAGTTTCGCGCGGCATCTGAGTGTCCCAAAACACCTCCAGCGTACAAATCATTGTCTAACTCTTGGTTTCCGTATGCCAACGCGATCCGTATACGACCCGACTCGTATCCCGGACCGTAAGCTTCACTTTTTGGTACTAGGCTGATTTCTAAAAGTAGAATGTGTCCAAGTTCTGATCGAAGGCCAACGTACCCGGATACAACCAGTCGCCCTTTGGCATCTTGGCTTTAACCTCGATAGCACCGTAGATAAAGCTAAAACTCTCCACTGTTGATATTTGCGCCGCGGTAACAGAAGGAACTATGTGCCATGCCCTGGGCTTTCGAATACACTCCGGCGATTGCACTAGCCCTGTGCACCTGAAAGTGTTTAATAAATTCACGACTTTGAAACTCAACTCACCGAGTATTTAAGTCCAATTCGCGGTTGATCGAATCGCTGCCGTATACATCTTCAGTCAGTTGGGGTCGTATGTGCAAGGTTTCACCTTCGGTGTACAGTACTTTGGGATCATCGTCGTAGATTACAAATTCAAAATCCTGAAATGAACTGTTAGAGGCAAACGTAAGGGTGTGTATCAGTCTAGCTTACTGGAACTTGAGGAAACTTGACTTCTGGCTTCCACTTCGTCTTGTCTAACCTCGAAAAGGTCTCATGGAAAATGAGCATTCCTTTGCAAGCAGTTTTTCCGTTTAACTTTGTTTGGCCGAGCTCGCAAAGTGGAGGTGTACTCGTCGTAGTTGACCCGTCACGTGGAATTAGCTCTGCGAACATTTATTCCAATAACGTACAATTTTTATCTTTAAATATCTTCCCAATTTTTTATTGATGAGGTTAAAAATGCACTAATCTAAAATAGTTATTTATATAACAAGAGCGCGAAGTTCAATTTCGCGCATTGAGACTGAAGGTATTTTGACGAGGCGAAGCCGAGTTAAAATATCAGTCAAATGCGCGAAATAACTTCGCGCTAGCGTTATATACAATATTTTTTCTACAACTGAACTGATTGTTAATTAAATTGCTGTTTAAGTTCAACTTTGTCCCGTGCGCGAAATACTTTTTTTCACTGTTGACGATTTCGCGCACGTTGTCAAGAGCAACCTTACTTATTAATTAACCGATTAAAAATCTAGTACTTCGCGTTTCGAAATCCGTCAGAAAATGACAGGTTTTTTTGACAGTTGTAGAAAAAAATTTTTATTGCCAATTTCGCTCCCCCCGGTAGAGGGCGCCCATCTCGCCACCGCCTAAATACGGCCCTTTACCAAAACTCACCAGTGACAGTAAACGGCTCTCCGTCCTTTTCGTAACCAATTCCATCGTAAAGCACATGAATCCAATAATAAAGTTTATCGCCTGGTTTTAGACGAGCATTTGTGAAAAAGGTCCACCTTCCATTTTCGGCGAAGCGAATGTCCTCAGAAAAAATGCCTGCTTCGCGTCCTTTCATCGGGCTGTTAATTTTCCCGTGGAACGCAAATAGCTGGATTCCATCTTCGTCTACAAGCGCCATATGAGTTCAAAGCTGAACAAACAAATTTATTGAACCTGGTATTGAAACTCTCAGTCCTTTTGGACCTAATGGTTCGATTAACACATCGGAAAATTCGTAGTATTGACCACTGACACTAAATATACCATAAAAACACAATAATGTAATTAGTAGGTACATTTTGTGCTAGTCTGCACTCAAATATTTAAGAAATAAAGATTGCAGTGACATCTGACTTGTATTTATGTGAGAATTCTGTGACGTATACTCTCGATAATTAAAACGTTAATAAGTGTTCTTATCTATGAGCTGTTTTTTTTTCATTTTGTTTGACCCCATCTTCTCATTTAGAAAATTAAAATCGGGCCCGTAGAGCTCCATTATAATTAGATCCACATATATGGTAAAATTAAAACCCCAAAAGTAATTAATTAAGGGTATGAAAATAGAAAAATATGGAGAAAAAGGGCAGACCACCGGCAGCCAAAGATGATTAGACTAAATTTAATTATTATTAATTATAGTATTTATTATTATAATAGTTATTAATTTGAATGTTATCATTCATTTCGAAGTCACCTATAATTAATTCGGAATGAATCAATTCATAAATAACTCATTTTTACAACCTGCACGTTATAGTAAGGGAGGTATTGCATTGGGATAAAAGATAACCCCCCCCCCAGTTTTTTACGGAAATACACGTTTTGAAGCACCAGTAATCCGAATCAAACAAAATCTCGATGACGTCGGTCTGTCAGTCCGTCTGTACTCTCATTTACGGCTAAACGGCTGAACCAAATTTGGTACACATATTCTTAAATATAAAAGAAAGGGCTGAAAAGCTTTTGGGCAGAACGCGATGCGCAGATTAGGTATTAATTAATTATATTAAAATTCAAAACGATAGCAAAATTGGCGAAGTCTTTATAATAAACCCAAGTTCTTTATCCATATTGATTATCCAACATTCAAAATGAGAGAACTTGAGAATAACAATTTTATCATCTTTGCAATAACTATAAATATATAAATATAAATAAACTTTTCCGCTTTGGAAAACCCTAAGTGGTGTCAATGTATGGTTGTCCTCAAGCATTCTTGGATAAAAGGTATTGCGAAATCTCAACGACCAGAAGAATTTGTTTAGATAATGTATCCGGGGGTACCTTAACACGGACCTGAAGGAGTCAAGATAGTTTTTTCTGTTTGATTAAATTACAGGATCAATAGTTTAAGAGGTAATGGATTTTTCCTGAAACTACTTTAGAAACAACTACTTTCGTCTCTAGAAAGGGCGAAGAAAATACAATTTTCCTCACTAGGAGGAAAGTAAAAAACAATTGCTACGTTAATCTTAATAATGACATTTAAAATTGAAAGATACTCGTATCTAGATTGCTAAGTGGCAAACTTCACTAATGCATAAGATAATTTTTTATATTTTGATTGTAGTTTCAGTAAAATTATGTGTAAAACTTGAGAAGAAAGTGTTTTTCAACTCTCGTTCAATTGACACACTCGCTACGCTCATGTGTCAAACTTTGAACACTAATTAAAAAACTCCACTTTCTTCTCTAGTTGTACAAATAACTATTGTATCAATATTCTTGAGTACGGTGGTAAACTTATTCTACAGGTAAAACCCGGGGGATTAATGAAAGTTTTAGTTGATATCTAGTGCGTCTTTTGTGGTGGGCAATAACAATAATTAGACCAGTTTACCGCAAAAATTTCCAACACTCTCACAATGGCTTTAAGTTCTAACGTGTTAATATGATTATCTCATTCACTTTATCGGTCACGTCACGGTCCGCGCATGGTGCGGTCAATTATTAACGAGCTCTTAGCGAGTTCATGATTTTGGACTTTCTGTCCGTCCGTCCGCTCGTCTGTGGACAAGATAACTCCCGAACGATTTCGACTTTTCTAAGTCTGTGTTCAGTATTTTGTCATCGCCCAACGAAGAATTGATTAAATGTTCAGTGACCCAGAAGCTCGTTTGCTATATTTGTTACATGTTTATTATAGCGTGTAGGTATAGCCGGTTAGGTTTTGGTCAAAAGAAAGACACGCTACAATAATAGACCGTACCGTGATCTAAACGTGGCATGACCGGTGATGTGAATCGGCCTTTAAACGTTGAACCTGTGGGATAACTCGTTAACATTAGACATTCCTCGCTGCCTATGCCTTTGGTCTGGATCTTTTAGTTGACCAGGAGATAATTCTTTGTCTTCGTAGCCATAAAAAGCCTAAACATTCCCGCAATATGTGATCATGTCACAGAGACAATAGAACGAGCTAAGTGCCTGTATTTCACGTGATCCAACATCATCGAAGTTTGGTTGAACACGAAGGCGTCCTACAGTAATGATTTTTGGGTTTTCGGCCAATTTTTTTTGATATCTCTATTTTCTGGCGCAAGAGGTGAGCTGATCTCTCAGTTCAAAAACACAACTTTCTTGCCAATTAAAAGATAAGCTAGATATTGGGTATTTCCCATGATACAATAATCTAATAAGATACTCTAAACTAGCGAACGAATTTAAAACTTGTTTGCGCATTACGTCATCCGTTCAAATTTTCGCGACACCGATGTTCGATTTTAAACTTATGTTGTTGATGGCAAACACGCACCCATCCACTGTCCTTCTCTTTCACACGGAACAATACGGTTCAGGCCCGTAGCCAGAATGGAGTAGCAGAAGTGATCGGTATTTTGTAGGTGGCGCTTAAAAAGTTTTTGATAAAGACTTCCCCTGTAATTTTTGTAAAGAAACGCATCAACCGTAATTTCCAGTGGGGCCAAGACACCACGTTCTAGGTGGTTTCAAGACAAAGATATGAAAGAAAAAAACTACTGTCACTAATTTAATATCGGGCTTAGGTAATTTTTACAGGAACAAAGAAAAATAAGTTCTTTAACTACAAATTGCTTGACTTACATTCATTGTCGGCTGTGATACATTGTATTTAGAGCGACTTACGTCCCTTTCCGTTGTCTGTATTCATTTTTACGATAGTAAACTACATTGGAATGGCAGTATAACAATTCAAATAAATCCTCAAAACGCGAAATAAGTTATTGGTACGTCCAAGAAGGCGATTTGATACGATTTCGTCGTGTTTAGTGTAAAATTTTCTGAATAATTAGAATTTTTAGAGTAATAATAACTTTCACTGCTACCTAATAGATTGACGGCGAAGCCAAAAATTCTACAGGGTTACCCGACATTCGTCGCAGCATACGAAAATGCCGTTAGCTGCGTGCAAATATGAATTACAATAAGGAGTACACTTATATAGTAATGCAGGTTTCGACGCAGCATCGGCCGACACGTTAGAAATTCCATGGAAAAGGGAAGTGATCATGCAGGATGAGCACAAGGAAACATAACGAAAGAAAAAAATACATCCTTCGGTTACATTAAAGAAGAAACAGCCTTTGGTAACACAAAAAAAAAGAACAGAGCAGTCTAAGAAAAGAAATTGCGTCGCATCTGCCGTTATAGTATCTAAGTGTTCAAATAAGCCCCCGCCAGTAGGAATCGTGTAATGCAATCGGTTTTCAAATTCTGCAGTCACAGACATGAGTTGGGTATGAGTGATACCCGCAGAACATTCACGGATGGCATCTTCCAAAGCAGCAGTGTTCGGAAACGGTCCACGTGCATAAATGGAATCCAGGTGACCCCAGTAGAAGAAATCGAGAGGGTTCATGCATGTTGAGCGTCAAAATTGTGACAGGAATTATCCGATGAGTAATGACAAGCAGTGACAAATCCTAGTACCATCGCTAACTCGTTGACCAATGCTGCGTCGAAACCTGCATTACTATATAGGTGTACGCCGTATTGTAATTCATATTTGCACGCAGCTAACGGCGTTTTCGTATGCTGCGGCGAATGTCGGGTAACCCTGTATAGTAAATGAAATTTTGGATTTATTTTTTTGTAATAATTGCATAACATTATTCTGCAATTGTGAAAATCGATTCAGTACCATATTCTTAAGAGTTTTTCTACCAGGCAACTTCAGGGAAGGATTACAAAGCTTGAAAAAATGTTTAGTTGCATCGTCGTCAAAAAATGTAAACGGAAGATATTTTGCTGCGACCTAGTCAACGATTGAATTGCTTGTCATTTTCTGTTGGAATGGAGTCTGAAACATACGATACGACTCTTTCAGAAGAGGGCATTGCATTAGTGACATTGTAGTAGTTATAGTTAGTAATTACTAAACTAAACCTTTATTGGAAGAGGGTTACATAAAAAATTTGGTCAAGGCGTTGACTGATCAAAGACTTCTGTGAAACGCCATGTAATTGATTCGCATATTTATCAGCTTTGGTCCAATAGTAAAGTGTGTTTTTTAAGTAGTCATATACCTTAATAATTTCTAAATAACGCCATCGGCTTTCCAATAACACACGATTTTTTAGCGTAATTCCTAATGGAGCTGGGTATGACTGTCGGCCGTCCGTGCGAGGCTTTAGCTACTTTCACAATTCTCAATAGATTTAGATTTTTTTAAAATTTGGTAACCTATAGTCTGGTAGCTGAACCAAGAAAAATTTTTATGATTAATGTGCGCATGCGCAGAGTGTGCAATGTCAACTTCTGTATTTATTAACGAGGTTCTAGCGAGTTCATGATTTTAGATTTTCTGTCCGTCCGTGTACACGATAACTTACGAGCGGTTTCGAATCATCATTCAATGAAGAACTGATTAAATTTTCAGTTGCCCAGGAGCTAGTTTCCTATATTTGTTACAAGTTTATTCTTGCTTATAGTATTTATCAAAGTGTAAAGTTCCATCTTCTTAAAAAACACCCTAAGTAAGTGTCACAACTCTCATGAGGATGGGTCAGTCGTTGTGTACTTGGGCAACCTACCTAGCGCATGGTAAATATTATTGAACGGTTTAGCGACAATAAGATTAAATAAGGACTTCTTATGAAGTTTAAAAGCGGGTAAGATGAAACAAACGTACTTCTTACCTTAAACTGAAACATCTCGGTTAATAACGTTGTTTGACAAGTTCTACTGCTTCCCGCTCCCGATGACTGCCCTTTATGGGAAATCAGCTGTGTATCCGGAAATAGCATAGTATACTCCTTCTTGTGCTTTGATTTCATATGCCTTGAAATTGTACTGGTTCCGCCTCCTGTGATTTTATATTCCGCTTTGATTTTTTCTGCCTTGCAC